GCAACGGATAGTGGTGGATCAACAGCAACGGCAAATGTACACATTACAGTCAACGACGCTAATGATAACAAGTGCAAGTTTGACAGAGACGTAAGCTATACCAAAATTGACCAGTTTACTGCTCTTGGCACTTTGGACACTTTAACTTTTGCCGATGGAGATTTAACTGCGCCTAACAATGTTGTAGAAATTAAGATAGTTTCAAGCAGCCCGCCAGACTCTGGAAACTACATCTCAGTATCAAACACAGGTGTTGTTAACCTTATTGCTAGTATCCCCACAGCCAGTTCTGGATCGTCGTTCAGTTTGCTTGTCAGTTGTACTGATGGTGGCTCTCCTACAAAATCTTCCTTTGCAACTGTGGTAGTTTCATATACAGTCCTTGCTACATCCACAACATCGACTGCTTCAACAACTTCCACAACCGCAGCAACAGAGGAAAACTTATTCAAATATCCGTGGTTCTTGGCTGTATTCGCCCTACTGATGCTCTGTTTAATCGCTGGGTTGATTGGTTTGGTTGCTTTCCTCCTGTACAAGTGTTGCTGCCAGAAACAGGTCACCGAAACCCAGAGAAATAAAATCACTCCTTCGGAATATAGCAGCAATAGTACACAAAGTAATTATTCCAAGGAAAGTAGCGATAATGGTTCTTCTTTTACGGCAAGAAATGACATTGATTATTCTCATTCGTGGCAGAATAACCAGATACTTTCTCCAAGACAGATACCAGCCTTAGAATACAAGTAAGCAAAGTGTCATCGGATTCCAGAACATATGTGTCTCATGATTGAGGCAAACCTTTTTATAAAATTATTTTCTAAACCCGTAATTTATTTTATTGCACACTCACACACACAAGCACACACACACACACACACACACACACACACACACACACACATATATATATATATATATATATATTCAGACATAACTGTGAATAAGTAATGACACATTGCAGTGTAATCAGGGAAGAAATCCACTGAACTGCCATATAGAATGCTAAAACAACAGAACAAACTCAGCGTTATAGAAGATTGCAGGAAAGTTGAGCTGATTCAAGAACCGATATCACAAAACTTAGGACATTCTCATAAGCGCTCCGTCCCTTACTCCAGCAGCTAGTGCAGAGTTCCGATACTAATGGTGGTAGCAGATACGAAAGAGTCCAAGTCCATTTTTGAGAAAAAAAAGAAAAACGACAACTTTCTTGTTGCTGCTAGCTAGCCGAGGCTGCTATAAGTCTCCGCTATATTTGTGGTCTCATTTGTGTCCACTTTCGTGACTAAATTCTAGTAAAACATTTGCTGGCTTAATAGTGGAAATAGTCAACTACTCTAAATCAACCCGTTAGAGCTGTTCGTATTAGTTCCTCTTCCTATCTGGGTGTCTCCTCTCATCTAAAAGTGATTAGGCCAGGGTATCTCTATGTTTGCGAGCTTTCCCACACACGTGAGACCACCATTTTAACCGTAATATTTAGGCCATTTTGCCAAAAAGTACTGAAAAACCAAGAGAATTTGAAATACTTGGTTCACTGTGAAAATTTTCCGCATGGACCATACAGGCTATAGCTGTCTTCCATTTTACTAAAAATGTACAAACAAAATTGTTTATTTATAATGGTCGGGATAAAAGGCATAAGTTCGTTAGCTAGCAAAGAGAAAAACAGCAGATGATGAAATAGTCAACTACTATAAAATCTGTTAGAAAATTTATTAGTTTCCAGCTGATGGTGTGGTCTCATAAACTGAGTTCAAGGCTCGTTCAATTGAATACGGCAGAGGCAAACAACCAAAATCAATGGGAGAGAGGAATAATAATAATAATTCAGAAAAAGCTAATTGTACTGACTGTAAAAAATGGAGAGAAATTACTCTGTTATAAGAAATATCTTAGACTCATAAAAAAAAAAAAAAATCTTAGTAGAATAAATAAATGAATGAACCAGGAACTGACATTAATGTACTCGGGAACTTTCCACACATGCTCTGTCATCTTCATTACTAACCAGCGAAGAAATGACAGTACCAGTTGCAACCTGGTTAAAAGTCCGTCTATGTTTCCACTTTAGTTTTGAATATCTGCCAGTTTCTCTACGTACCTCCCCCCCCCCCACCCACTCCCCCCACTTCACCCCTTCTACCCCCGCTAAATTAGTCTTTCAGTATATTATTTCTTATCTCAGCAGAATTAAAGGTCATGGACACAATCCCCCCACCCACTTCATCCCTCCTACCCCCGCTGAATTAGTCTTTCAGTGTATTATTCCTGATCTCAGTAGGATTAAAGGTCGTGGACACAATTCTGAGAGAGGAGCAAACTGGCTTTCGTCATTAGAAGAAGCTGCTAAGATCGAATATGTTCCCGCGTGGGTTCAGAGGCCACAGTGTGTGATGGTGGGGTGTTGGGTGGTAAAAAAAGTATAGATTCCCTGCCTCCGTAACGTGCAAACTATAAGTGTCGACTAATTACAATCTGTCTTCGAAATCGGAGTGCATTTGTCTGAAAGGCAGGTGAACCAACAGTCTACGCTCTAATAAGCTACGTATGTACGTTGTGAGACATTAAGATAAATCATTGTGAGAGTCTTGAAATACTATTGTATGCCAATAACAATAATAAATATTATTTGGCAGTGTGTGAGGGTTCAGAGTATCAAGTGCGAACATGTGATGGTTTATGTTACTAGTTTGCACTTGAAACTGGGGTGAAACAGTTTGCACTTGAAACTGGGGTGAAACAGTTTGCACTTGAAACTGGGGTGAAACAGTTTGCACTTGAAACTGGGATGAAACACAAATGTATTTTTTTAATGACCTGTAATTAGGCACACCCATTAAGGTAGTAGTGACCGTGGCCTAGGCGTTAGGAATCTGACTCGTAATTCCAACGTTCTGTGATCGAAACTCACTGCTGGCTGCATGGATTTTTATCATGGCACGGGACGTCGCAGGTCGACCCAGCTTAAAATGGGTACTGGGATGTATGTCCTGGGGAAGTAAAGACGACCGGCGTAATGCTGACCATATTACCCACCAAATACCGATTGGTCTGTCAAATATGAGTGCTCTTCTCATATGCCCGATACGCCTAAAGGCGTGAAAAGGGATCTTTACTTATTACTTTTAATAATTGGAGCTGACAACATTTTGCACTAGAAGCACTAGAATAAACTGGGCGGAGAACACACTGGATGTGGGTGATTAGATTGTTCTGCTGAGTATAGGCAACAATGGAGAAACAAAATTGAAAAAAAAACGGATGATTTAGCAAATCTAGCGTCAGAGGCTGGACTAAAACTAAGTTCTTAAAAAGATACCCATTGAATACACCAATTAAAAGGCCAAGCAGATGCAACACGGGAGATAAAAAGAATCAGGTGGTTACCAGATCAATTTACTTATTTAGATAGTAATTGTGAGAGTCAAGGGGATACAAGGAAATAAATTATGCCACGCTCTGACAAGGCATCGGCAGTTTCAATAGCCTCAATGTAAGATGGAATTCTCCAGAATGAAAGCTGAAATTCTACTGAATGAAAGTTGAAATTCTACTCAATGGACGTTGGAATTTTACTGAATGAAAGTTGGAATTCTACTGAATGAAAGATGGAATTCTACTGAATGAAAGTTGGAATTCTGCTGAATGAAAGATAGAATTATACTAATGAAAGTTGGAATTCTACTAAATGAAAGATTTATTCTACTGAATGAAAGTAGGAATTCTACTAAATGAAAGCTTGAATTTTACTGAATGAAAGTTGAAATTCTACTCAATGGAAGTTAGAATTCTACTGAATGAAAGTTGGAATTCTACTGAATAAAAGTTGGAATTCTGCTGAATGAAAGATGGAATTGTACTGAATGAAAGTTGAAATTCTACTAAATGAAAGATGTTATTCTACTGAATGAAAGATGGAATTTTACTGAAAGAAAGATGGAATTCTACTAAATGAAAGATGTTATTCTACTGAATGAAAGATGGAATTCTACTGAATGAAAGATGGAATTCTGCTGAAGGAAAGATAGGACTATAAAGTGTACAGTTTTAAAAATTAGGGTGAGTATTTTAAATTCAAATTGCTTGTTTCAGTTTTAATATACGCTAGTGAAAGTGGGAGAACCTCTAAAGAAATGGAATGAAAAATGCATTTGAAACCAAATACCTAAGGCAAATGTTGAACATAAAATGGGATGAGTTCAAAAGGGGTGAAGAAATAAGAGAAAAGTCTAGACAACCACTGGAAATCACAGTTGTAACAATAAAAAGTTGGCGAGATATTTTACTTATCCTGGAGGGGGAAACGAGCAGAGAATCACCAAAACAGGCACTTAAGTGGGAAACAACGACTGAGGAGGCGAGGACGCCCAACATAAGCTCTAAAACGAACGTTGATGAGAGAGGCCAGAGGTTGTAGCCGGGATTCTTTCCGTGAAATCGATGTGATTGTAAGGACAGAATGGAGGAGATGAATAGACAAAGAACGGCACACCAGGACATTAGTAGGAGGGAGAGAGAGAGACACGCATGTATTGTTTTGATTATACATAAATGATAAGGATATGTGTGTGTTTCAGTGGTTTTTAATGTATATGAGTAAGTCTGTCATAATGTTTCAGTAATTGTTTATAAGGTGCACTCAGAGGAATTAAACTATCACAAAGCAGTCCTTCGTGGAAAGGACATAACTGAGAGAGACAACATAAACAAGCTGAACGGAAAGGAACAAACAGCAATTGTTGGGCTTCAGTAGAGGAAAAAAATAGTAAAGCCTATGTCAAAACAGGCGGAGACTTGATTGTTCAGTTGCTAACATTCAAGCATGTCCTCACGCTGTCCACGTGGTTTACATTCAACTTAAAAGAACGACTGAAATTGTTGTACATACTCACACATGCGCGCGCGCACATACTCACACGCACACCCACAAACACACACAATCCCGCACATAGACATCAGACAGTCACAAAAACACTCATACGCAACGTACTTACCCACGCATGTTGGAATCTCTTGACTCCAATTTCCTGAGTCGAGACAGACTGCAAACTTTACTCCAACACGCTCGAATCTGCCTTTGCATCGAAAGCTGGCGATTCTGCCTTTACTCCGAAGTCTGATGCGGAGATTGGGTGCTTTTATTTCAGGACAGCTAACCTTTGTACCCAGTGGCGTAGCAACGGTGGCGCGGGCCAATCCAGACGCCAACACCGAGGAGGTTGCTAAAATGGCAAAAATTAGCATTTTAAAAATACAATAATATTATATTTTGGAATTTAGGATTTTTTTTTAAATTTTAAGTGAAAAATAAAATAATATTTGAAACCACCTAGATAACATGGTTTGACAATTAATTAACATCAACAAGTTTACATACTATGTAGTGAATCTTATTTTTTGTTCCGTTAACAAACACAGCAAAGAAATCTGCCTGAACTTGGCGTTGGTAGATAACGAAGGGAATGAAGTATTTCTTGTTGAGAGGCAAGGAACCAACAGTCTACATAAACATAAGAAGAATCTGTAAAACGTGTGTGCAAGCAGATCTCAAATTCTGAAGTAATGCTAAATTCTTAAAGTGGGTTAACTACCAGAACTTTTAGCCGGTTTTTACAGAAGAAGAAAAAGAGGAAAAAGACATTATTATGAACGGGAAGAAATATGTTAGGCAAAATGCAAAAAGCTGACGTTTAGAGAGATAAATGTCACATTACCAGGAAAATTGTATGTTTACCCTATACTACTGTTCAATACATACGTACCGATAAAGAAGAGATAATTAGAAAGTCGACTTTGGTCTGGATAAGTGGATATACAGAAGAATAAATTGTTTCTCATCGAAATAAAAACAATCGAATACAGATGTTGATAAGCGACTCGGATTGAACAGAGAGATAATGAAAGAAATAAAAATGAGGTTTGTAAAATGTGTCGGCTAAAAAAAAAAAAAAGCATTACACTTTTATAAAAACTATACTTTAGAGAAAAGTTGAAGGCAAGCGAGCAAAGAGGCAGACAGTGAAACACATAAGAGGATCACATCGTGAGTTGGAAGAACAGCAGTCTAATAAAGTGTATATCCAGAGCAAAAAAATCCGCTTCCGGTAAGGCCGTGCCACTTACCCTGATTATTTCAAAGCCAAATATTGCAAGTTGAATTAAGAATCAACACCACAGCACTCGGGACACCACTATAAGCGCTCCGTCCCCATATCCAGCAGCAAGCGAAGATTTAAAAGTCCAATGGTACCAGTAACTGTCTGAATGTATTGCCGTCTCGCCTTTCCCCTTAGTGTGAAACGTCAGCCAGATGCCCTTGTAACTCCACGCAGCGCTATTCACCTCAGACCGTAATGATCTATCTGTTCCTGGGTACTGTTCACTCGCTCACAAAGGGCCCTCACAACTTCCAGCTTGTCATACATCAGTTCACCACCAAGTGGTGCAGAACCTGCCAGTTTATCTGCCTGCGCATTCACAACACACCGGCATGACCTGGAGAAAATATCCAAATGATTCAAACTACACGAGACCTCTTAAGTGATGCTTGCCACTCTGCACGGAGCATGCCTGTCTCCACCTTTATCAACATGCTCTGTGAGTCAGTTACAATGACCACATGTGTGTACAGCTGATTCTCAATCCAGCGGAAGGCAGCAGTGACTGCCTCCACCTCCATTCTTAAACTAGACGTTGTGATATCATATCCAAGGCTTTGTTGCCCCAAGCGATGTCAATTTGCCTTCGCTATAAACCCCCATGAACATAACACAGAGCCATCTGTATATACAATCACATCATTTTTACTTGGGCTGGAAGTGTCATGAATCATTTGTTAAACTTCTGATTCTGCAGCGCCAACTGGTTAGTCCCAGCACTCACGTCCAAAAGTGATTAGAACCCTACACAAATCTGAAACTTGATTAGACACTTTGACCCACTCCTCTCCTCGCCTACATTTATCAAGCCTGCACACATGTCCAATTATATCTTTAGCTAGCGCCACCCAAAACTTTCCTCTTGTCAGTCTGTGACCCTTAGCTCTATCCAAGACTTCATGCAGGAGTTGCCTCTTGTCCGCAGCTACTCTGAGATTTGACTTTGCTTGCAGAACTTTGAGCCAGAAGATCACGTAATGCATCGGTTTTCATCGCTTAATACAAACCACTTACCAGTTCGAACACACGATGGCAACGTGTTCCACGGCTAGATGCCTCGAAGAACTTGATGTGTTTGTTAGAAACTGTGTAATTATTAACTGTTCAATGTATTTGGACCCGAATATTTAACTGAACTTAGCGCCGTTGTCAAAGTGGACACAATCTTTGCGAATATGGCCACCCATAGTTTCTCTTGCACCGGATTACACAAGGGTAGGAAAGATCCATGGCTATAGATGTCCGATCTCTCGAGCAGAGGAACACACAAGTTGTTCTCTCTTGAGAGCTTGGTCTAGCCCTATAAGTACATGTGCCTATAGGGTGAACGGCGCACACTTAGGTCGTAAATCATTTGATCAAGAAAACCCTTATACAGTCAAGACAGTTATGAGTGACCAAAGAGGCACAAAACGCAACAAATCTAGAAGAGACAACCTCAGTTAAAAGTCTCAAAGCCTTCGTTGGATCTACGTGCTTAATGGCTGACTGACTGTGGGAAATAAAGCTGTGAACGTGGAACCCCTGGTTAGCGGGTGGGGCGGCCTCAGGAGCATGTAATCCTAGAGGACATCTCCGCTTTGTCCCTTGCAAGTAAGCACTACTCTGGTGAGAGTTTTACTTCCTGCATCGAAAAAAACATTTTCTGTGGATTTTGCGCTTACTAATTCTATTTTTTTTTTAAATCATCGCTGGAGCTACAAAGTGCGTGCTCTGGCTTGATACCATCTTCAAGTAGCAATAGACAGAGTGGGAGGGGGAGAAAACAAAGAAATTGATAGAGCAGACGGTATAGAAATAGGAGAGCGGCAGCCAGGACATCAGGCGAAAAACGGAGCCTCAGGGATTAAAGCATATTACAGAGGGTTGTCGCAGTGCTAAACAGATAGGACCTGTACTAGGCATGCTGACTGATGACTTTGATATCATCATGCTAAAGCAAAAAAGCAAAAAAAAAAAAAAAAAATTCTGGACACATTAATCTTCTTCTTCTTCTTTCGCGTTCACCAGCACTGAAGACTCTGGCGGAAGGTTTCTGGTTGCTCGTCCACTACTGTGCAGCCTCCTGCTCCAGAACCTGAGTGTTGCGTGTGCATCAGTTTTACAGATCTCATTCTCTTGAATACAGACTGTTGGTTCCTTGCCTCTCCGGCAGATGCACTCCGACTTCAAAGGAAGCTCCCCAATTAGTCGACTCTTACGACATGCTTTTGGGGAGGCAGTGGGTCTATTCTTGTTTTCCCCACAATGGGGCACCGGAACCCACACGGGGGGACACATTAATAATATTAACCCTACCGGACAGGGAAGACATGGGGAATGTCTGCTAGTGACGAATGAGGTGAATATGTAGTCCTTGAAGTTGGCCATTGGAACCATGGTACAGTAAAGGTTAGGGTTAGATAATTTTAGATAATGGTGACACACCCTGGAATTTAGTACATATTTACGCTCTTGTCGCAAAGGAACACTAGGACTGGCTCGAAGAGTTGGAGGAAATATCTGGTAATAAGTTTCTCATTTGTAGGGATTTCAAAGCGTGGAACAGAGCAGGAAAGGGTACTGGGAAAAGAAGAAAATCAAATGAGGCTATGGGGAGTTGCCAGGGCGGAGCGGCTAGACGCTGGCCGCGAATTGGAAGGTCGTTTCATTTCATTTGAAAGTGATTTATCAGTTAACGCGAATTTCTATTACCACGAAATACTAATTTGTATTAGTCCGTTGGTTCTCTAGATCTATTTCACCCACACTTCGACAGCTTTTTATAATACTCCTCCCCCACCCCTCTCCACTTACCCATCTCATCCCCAACCACCCCGTGATAAGAAAGAAAGAGAAGTTAACCATTATCGATTTCACCACGATATTTTGTGCTTTAACCAGAAATTATTATTTTTAATATCATAGATAATTAATTGATACAATGGCTTGACAAATGTGATCTTAGTGTCAACAACCAGCTTCTATCGCACAGATTCAGTTTAGTAATGTATTCAAATTGCAGTACTGTAATTTAATAAAATGACTGCTTATTTGCTTGTATTTTTTATACTGTATTCAGTACGAGAACAGCAAATTAAGATTAAAACATGAAAGCTGTGAGAACAGACATAAATCTGTTATCTATACTATAAATCATAAAGGACGTAGACAGGTACCCAAAAAAAAAAAAAAAAATGACAGTATGGAAGTGCCTATCTACTTGATCTATAACACTGAAATATCATGAAAGAAAATCTATAGCTGCTATATCAAGTTCGACTGAAAGCTTTAAGCGACTTTGTAGTCCTACGCAAGAAGACTTCAACCCGTTATTTCTATATTGTTCAACCATTGCGCCTTTAATATAAATTTCGTCATCATCATTATCATAAACCATGTCAGTAATCGTAGACTGTCACGTTTTGCAATCTCACACGATCGTCAGAATCACGGATCAGGTCAATGTTTTTGACTGGCTCCACCCGTCTGGTCAAGCCATCCAGGTATTTATCTCTTTAACTTCCTCTTGTTATTCATCAATCATTCCAGTTGTTACCAAGTTCTCCAGTCTAATTCCTTCTCATAATTTGTCGCCCACCCCCCCCCCCCCCCCCCCTCCAAAAAAAAAAAAAAAACACCGTCTGTCTACGTCTAATTGCTCTAATAAGTTTACGACTTTCGTCTGTTTGGATGAAGACTGCCTCGTTTGTTTTTCGATAAGCTTCATGATATTCTTTGCATTCTTCTCAAAAACAAAATTTCGGATGCCAGTAAATATTTTTCAACTTGTTTGCTTATTGTCTATGTCTCACAGGTAAATAACATCATAGGTTCTGCATATCATTTTAACACCCTTTTCCTCACTGCAGTTGACATCTTATTTTTAAGAATCTTTTGCATTTAACTAAAGACCACTATTGTCATGACAATTCTTGTTCTAATTTCTGCAAGCTTTCTTGCATAATAAGTTTTTCCTGTTTGAAAATATTGGTATATATTTACTTGCTAAAGCGTGTT